CTGTACTCGGCCTTAGTGAGGCCGCAGCTGGAGTACCGTGTCCAGTTTTGGGCTCCACAATTCAAAAAGGATGTGGAGAAGCTTGAGAGAGTCCAGAGAAGAGCCACGCGCATGATCAGAGGTCAGGGAAACAGACCCTACGATGACAGGCTGAGAGCCCTGGGGCTCTTTAGCCTGAAAAAGCGCAGGCTCAGGGGTGATCTGATGGCCACCTACAAGTTTATCAGGGGTGACCACCAGCATCTGGGGGAACGTTTGTTCACCAGAGCGCCCCAAGGGATGACGAGGTCGAATGGTCACAAACTACTTCAAGATCGTTTCAGGCTGGACATAAGGAAGAATTTCTTTACTGTCCGAGCCCCCAAGGTCTGGAACAGCCTGCCACCGGAGGTGGTTCAAGCGCCTTCATTGAACACCTTCAAGATGAAACTGGATGCTTATCTTGCTGGGATCCTATGACCCCAGCTGACTTCCTGCCCTTTGGGCGGGGGGCTGGACTCGATGATCTTCCGAGGTCCCTTCCAGCCCTGATGTCTATGAAATCCTTCACACTACTTTTTGCAACCAGGCCTCCACCTAAGAATAAAGGCACATTTAATTGGTTTACAGGGGGACATGGAGTAGAATTAGACTACTATATACACTTAGAACACATACTAAATAACTGTGTGGTAACTGCCGATGCTGCAGAGTCCTGATGTCGCACAGGTTGCTTCTGAACCTACTGCGCAGTAGCAGCAGCTTCGCAGTTTGTGTCCACCAATACTACATCATTGTAGTGACAAGCTACATTATAGCTCATTGCTATGGCAATGTAGCATCTGCTTAGATGCCTAATAAGTGGAATAGGCCCCAAGTCTTTTGCATGGTAATGCTGAGGGCTATGACTTACCCAAAGATGAGCCTCTTTACTTGATTTTAATGAACTGGAGGGAAATACAGTGGAAAATAAGATTGATTGAAGTATTTCCATCTGGGTCATAGACAAAGTGGAGGGGAGAGTGGGTATGCAGATTTCAGAGCCAATGGACACAGTAAATTTAGTCTGATTCAGAAAGAAAACTATCCCAAGGTAGATGCAAGGAATTTGAACGACATCCATAGTAATCATGAGGTAAGTGGAGATCTTGCTCATTTGCATTCACCCTGCAGTACACTTGATGACTCTGACATTATCTTCCTGGGAGGTGGTTGAAATATTCTTATTCCCATTCATTAAATCAAAATAATTTTCTTGGTACAAGGGAAGCAGCCATGGACAAGATCTGTACCAAACGTCAAATTGTCATGTTGCTAAATGAAATCCCATCTCAGGCAGCAGAATGGTAACCAGCCAGGTGTATCAATATTGCACTTAGTATCTCTTTCCACATTTTCCTTCCCAAACCAATTTATTTAGAAGTCATTCTCAGCTGCTTTTAACTCAGCTGTACTATATAATAAATAATGCCAGCTTGTCTTACCTGTTTAAGTAGGTGTCTCACTCCTCACTACACAACCCCACCTCCTTTCCAAAACCAAAATGCCACGAAGAAGGTCTTACTAAGCTAAAACAAACAGTTGGTTCTGCCTGTCTCTGCCTACCAACTGAGTTGGCTTTGCTAAAGGAAAACATTGAACTTATTGCTAATGGTTTAGGTTAAAAGGAGGGAGGGGTTGTGGTGCTGTACATTCCCACTACCTCTTCCAGATTTCACAACACCATTTAAACAAACAGCTCCTTGTGCTTCATGGATTCTGAAAAATCACAGCAAGAAGAATCTTGGGATGAAGGTGGGGGAGGGAGGTGGGGTGGGGAATCTGGAATCCTATGAACTGGAAATACAATGAACAATTACTAGCTGTCAGCCTGGCTTCCCTTAGGTGAGGCTGCCACACCATGGCAAATCCTTCAGCCCATCAAATCTCACAAAGACTGATAAAATTCATCTCTCTTGCACATTAGCCACAGTAAATCTTTATTGCTTCCTGTGCCTTTGTTTTGGACCGCATTAAACACCAATATTGCAGTACTCAGCATCTCCCAATAATATAGCAAATCATTAACTTGGAAGATTAACCTTTATAAAGAGAATACGCCTCTGCTGACAATTCAGTAATTTCTTACAAGGAGCCATTAGTATTAGTATTAGCATTACTATACATTAGCACCCACAAAGACTGGGGCCCTGTTGTGCTATACACTGGACCAGCATTCACTGGCCTGAAGAGTTCACAGTTGAAATAGTCAAGGCAAGGATGGAGGACGGGAGATATAGAAACAGAGGGTGGAAGGGGGAGAGAGAATTACAAAGGAAGAGTGATTTGCCCATGGCCTTGAGGCAAGATGGGACCAGAATTCAGGTCTCATGGGTCCAAAATCCAGTGCTCTGTCCACTGAGCCTCCCCCAATGCAAATGCAAAGTACGTGGATATGTGCAGGATCCTAACTCTTAGATGACAAAAGGTATCATTTATTGCCTTTATCACATGGTGAAAAACAAGCAATCACATCAGTCTACAACCATTCACATTTCAATGGGCTGGGGAAGCAGTGTGTGCCTGGAGACTTGTGCAAAGGGTTTTTTGTGTGTGTGTTCTCGCCTGTCATAAAAAAAAATTACTGAGTTCAAAATCCTTGTTTCTTTTCTGCTGGCATAATAACTCTGAAATGTATTATTGCTGAGAGACTCCACTCTCTCTGCCAACAGGTCCCTGGGGAGAAGCAGTAGCAGAAGAAAAGAACTTTTTACAGCTTCTTCATAAAAGAAAGTCAGCAATCCACTGGACCTAATCTAGTTTTCCTAGACATGATGGGATCAGATGCTCAGCTCAAGTAAATTGGTGTAGACTCACCAAAATCAGTGGAATGCCACTGATTTTCACCAGCTGAGAATCTTGCCCATCATTTTATAAGGAGAAGCACAGAAGAAGGTTCCAGCTGTGTTCTTTACATTTGCTGTTTTCTTCTTCCCTGGTAGAAAACTGTGATACTTCCTTCACTGCAAGCTGCAATAGGAAATAGTGATAGATTGATACTGCAGCCTAGGAAGCACTAATAGAAAGAGAGTAGTGTGTAAGAAAAAACACTTACCAGGGCTATAGATCTACTTAACAGGTCAGCCTGATAATGTATCAACACAGCTGGATGATGTGTATAAAGAGAATCCACAGTTGATTTAGGATAACAGTCTGTTGGCTTTTAGACTGCTCCTTTTGCTCAGTAGCAAAGCATTATGAGCCCCATTACAGCTGGTCTCCACCTTTAGGAGAACAGTTGCAAAACAGAAGAGTAACATGGCCTCTAGGGTCATTCTAACTTGCAGTTGTAGATAAAGTCATCTGCGAATGTGATTACAGCTAAGGTTTTCAAAACCTGTTTACGAAAGCATCCCAGGGAGAAACATTTTGGAAATCATAGTCTTAAGTCTAGTCAATTTAATTGGCAGTCTAAAAAAACCCAGCATATTAAAAGTTAATCATGAGACAACCTACACGGCTACAACCTACACCCCTGTAATCATGAGACAATAAAGTCATGGGATAAGACATGACTTAGCTATTAAGCAGAAAGTTGATGTTATCTTTGTAAAACAAAAGCCATGGGATTCTGTAGCAGCCAAAGGGCTGTGCCAGCCCTCTTGTAAAACTTGCATCTCAGTTCACCACAATGGCTGCAGTTTGCACTCTCTGCTCACTCCAGATACAGGGAACCCAGGCAAGGATTCGCCTACAGGCAGGTGGCAAGCCCTGGCCCAAGCACCCTACTTCACCAAGGGCAGCCTGCAATTCAATTCAGTCTGCTGCTCATGTGGAAAAAATGGGAACATTGATACTTCTCTCCATTGCCTTGTGTGTTGAGGAGCTACATGGGCCTGATCCAGGTGTCCTGGGTTTGAATGAAAGGCAGATCATACTTTTAGGAATAAAGTATTATTAAGCTGGATGGAAGTCCTATGAGGCTGTGGTGCTGCAGAAGAGATGGGCTGACAGTGAAGTATGCATCTTACTAGCCAGACCTATTCACTTGATGGAAAGTGGAGGCCAGTTCCAGTGGGGCAGAGGTTTGGGGCAATACACATCTGGGTGTGCTGCTGCCAGACTCTTTGAAAGGCAGGCTCTACAAGTTATTAGGAGTTATGGTACTTCACGGCTTCTGCAGTGGCCTTGGGACTTTGGGGGCTCATGCAGAGCCCCCCACGTGGTGCGGGGCAGCGGTGGGCAGCGGGGATCGCCCCCTGCTGGCTGAAGCGGTGGGTCCGGGGGTTTTCTCTTTTTTTTTCTTAAAGGGCTGGAGCTGGCCCAGGCGGGGCACCTGTGGGTGGGGGGGAATGAAGGGGGGAGGTTGGGGGCTCATGCAGAGCCCCCATGCAGCATGGGGCAGTGAGGTGCAGCAGGGATTGCCCCCCCCCCATCCAGCAGCACCCGAAGAGCCGGGAGCTGGGGCGGACAGGGCAGCCATTGCCGGGCTGTGGGGAATGGGGCCTGGCTGATTTGGAGATTTGGCAGCAGCCAAATCTCCAAATCAGATTCAGCTGAATCAATTCAGGACAGATCGAATCACCAAATCAAATCACTGTCCCCTGAATCAGCAGAATCTGAAGCAAATACTAACCACTTCACACAGGCCTACTGGCTGGCAATGTACATTACTTGTATTCTTAAAGCCACAGTGCAATACCCTGACCTATGCTAACAGGTACTTTGTGATACAAGCAAGCAGCACTAGTGAACTCAGTGGAGTAATCTGCCCCAACTGAAAAATTATTCATTGTCAGGAAGGCAGTCACAATCTGGTCCTTAGATTTTACACTCTGCGGCTGTAGCTTGATGTGCTGTGTGTTGGAATCCAAATAAAAGTATTGCTAATAAGAGAAATCAATACATTTGGGAAAGATCAATGGTTTAGGCAGAAATTCAAAAGAGAAGGTAGGAGTCCAGAATAGCAAAATGGAACAAAGAATTGTTACTTGATACAAATGATAGTAATAGAGTTGGATCCTCAGACAAGGTAAACTTACATCATTCTTCTGATGACTGTCTCCAAAATTCACTTTCTGCTCCTGCAGTCAAAAATGTATCCATGCTTGGTATCTTTCCAAAGGTGGTGATGATCCACATGTAGGAAGTTTGATCCCGAATAATCTCTTAGGATAGAGAAAACAATAGAGCTAAGTGGATCTATATCAGATGAGTTTACCCACGATGTAAAGAAGCTCTCATAAGTAATACCAAGTGCAAGCTCTCATAAGTAATACCAAGCCTTATTCCCATGCATGTTGCCCCCTCACCCATGGCTTGTACCCGCAGCCCCACTCCCTGCACAGCTCATGCTGCCATCCCAGGTGGGTGGGGTGGATCCTCACACACACAGTGGCACTGGGTGATTTTGAAGCCCAGCGCTTGCTGCTGCCTCAGCGCCAATGGGCTCTGCACAGTCGAGTTCTTGCAGTCACCAGGGAGAAGCCACTTTTGCAAAGTCACCTGATGCCCAGCAGAACAGAATGTCCCTTGCACGGTACGTTACCCTGCCCATAAACAGCCCAGTAACTCTGCAGCAGCTCTGGTGCTCAGGCTCCTCCTGCATGTGCAGTATTGCCATGACAGTGGCAGCAGCAATAGGAGCCTGTAGCGGCCCCTTTGTTGCTGAGCGTGGTGCCCTGTGACCACTCCCTGGCACCCCCTCCCGCTTCCACTGCTCGCCATGACCTGTAGTCTGCTGTAGGCTCAGGCTAGCAGCAGGGCGTGGGACTATGCTCACCAGGGTGCTGCAGGCACAGTCACAGTTATTGGCTACACTGACCAAAAAAACCTAATAGATGAAAACGTCATTTCTCTGTTTATTGATTCTGATCCAATAGCCAACCAATATACCAGTGCACCCCTTCCCTTCATACTCCATGTGGTCTGATCAAACTCTATTGCTCAAATTTTCATACAGGTTAAAAATTCACCTTTGGAAAGAAAGCAAAAAGGGAAATTTCTACTCCCAAGAAATCTGTATGAGAAAGTATGTCACTGAAAATTACCATGGGTTATAATGAAAACTGTTCAGAAGCAATATGAAATATTAAAGGACATAGATAACTTGTTTCTAGAAAAATAAAGTTTCAGAGTGTGGTGAACAAACAAGATCTGTGAGGCTGATTCATTCAGAAGCTGGGCAGATCTGCAGCAATAGTTAACTGGCAAGAATAAATGAAAAGTTAATTAATAAATTTAAGGCCAGAGGGACAATTACAGTTATTTAGTATGACACACCTCAGAATTCTGAGCCCATAATTTTGAGCTACTTCTGGTGTAGCCTGGGTATATCTTTTAGGAAGACATCCAATCCTGATTTAAATATTCAAGTTATGGAAAATCTATGATTTCTCTATATCCCCAGTGATTAATTACCCTAAAAGTTAAAATTTGTGCCGTATTTCTGGTTTGAATTTGTCTAGCTGCTGCTTTCAAATACTAGATCTTATTAGCCTTTTGCCTGCTAGATTAAACCACCTTCTACTATCAAAAACCTTCTTCCTATATAAGTACTTAAAGACAAGTCACCTCTTAACCTTCTCTTTGTTATGCTAAATTATCTTGAGTTTCCTTAGTGCCTCCCTGAAAGGCAAGTTTTCCAGAGCTCAAATCATTCTTCTAGCTCTTTTTCTTGAAGCCTTTCCAATTTGGCAACATCTGTTTAAAAACATGGACACCAGAACTGGACACTGTGTTCCTGTAATGGTCTCACTAATGGCATATACAATGGTACTAGCACTATAAAGAAATTGTGATTAAACAGGAAGTTGAGACTATGCTCACCCAAACTCTGTTAGTTAAGTAAGGAAGACTGAGATCCACAAAATTATCTATGTACCTAACTCCTATTGATTGTTAAATACCTTTGTGGATCTGCACCCAACTTCTTACATTCACTCAGCGTATAAAATATTATATTTGGCATCCCAACCTTGCTAACTAATACTGAACTCCTCATCTGAAAGGGGAACTGCCAGAATCTCTATGATTCTGTAGTATTTTGCTTAGATGTTTGAAAATGAAATGTCAGACCTTCTCCACTTAAACACTGCATTTTCCTCTGTGTCTAAAGCTCCAGACATCAAAATGACAAGAGCACTGCCATCACCATCAATGATGCCAAGAAGAAAGTCCACAGATCAAACAAAAATATTCATTAGTTAACAGCAGGGGAGCTCAGAGATTGGTGATCCACATATGAAAACAAAATTCTGAACATCAGTTGTGCTTGTATGGCAATAATATGAAGTATTTAAATAATATAAGTAAATAACTGGTATCCAATAACCTCTGAAACCTAAAACAGATGATTTGGAGTCCATTTGAAAAAACTCCCAGTGTAAACTCCCGGTAAAAAACCTTTACATTGCTCCCATGTCACCTCTAATGAATGGCAAGCATTTGAAAAGCTGTCTCACTGTCCTCCTTCAAATCCCTCCTTAAAAGTCTCCTCTGGTGGGATGACTACATAGTGATTAGGCAACTGGCATGATGTTGTCATATAAACCAGGGTTGTTTCATTGCTTGTGTCACCCACACACCCATTATATATAGTCCTAGGTTGTAAGCTCTTCAGGACAGGGACTACTTCTTTGTTCCATATTTGAACAGCACCTAACAAAATGGGGCCCTTGTCTCTGTGAACTATATTATAAATGCTGACAACAACCAGCTCTTACAGACTGACTGAGGAAAGATGTCAGAAGTAGAAAGAAAAAAGCCTTATAATACAGCTTGCTTGCTGAAGAGCTCCTGAAGTTTTATCTCATCTTTTGGTCCTTGGGAAAATGTCATCATGATGGGTGACTGTATCAATACACTGTCAGCACTACTATCCCTTGCTCTGTGGCTGCAGACATAAGCTGGTGCCCACATTGCATAAAGCAGCCTACAAAAATAGAGGAGAGTTACAAAGATACCCCCACCCTTGAAATCTTCAAAGCTACTCCCCCATTAGCGTGGTTTTTCAGCACCTGTCTGCTGTAAAGAGGTGAGCTCTGGAGCTCTGCCTTCCACGCCCCATCCAGCAAAAGCATGGATGGGTAAAAAACATTTAAGTCTTGCCTTTGCAGTGAGGTACAGCTTTGCTCTATAAGCCTCCTAGGTATGCATTTGTTTCTGGATGCAGATTGGCTACTGTAAAAGCTATTAGGATGTGTCACTTGTTCAGTCTTAAATCTCCTGCCTAATGATGCAATGAGGATACTGCTCCTTCTCTTTCACTCCAAATTAACACTAATACCTGGTGAAATGCTCTACTCCAACATCCTTTGGTGATCGATCATTCACTTGTGGCTATTGGAATTAGTTGACAGTCATTGAAAAACAATGGAGACAGTTTTCTCTTGCGTCTTCCAGGCATCTCAGGCCTGAGTACCACTGTGGGGGACTTGCTGGTCAGGGGAGCAGAACCGCTGGTGGCTGCAGTTTAGAAGCTGTGTTTCTCTTCAACTCAATGGCCAAAGGAAACAAGGCAAGTGCATTTGAAGATTGCTAGTCAACCCAGTCTTTACCAGTTCACAAACCCAGAGCTCCATCTAGTGGAACTTACAGAGAAAAACAGAAATATGAATGTTAATGTTTTTATTAGGAATGTATTTTATTAGGTTTTTTTCAAGTGCCTCTTGTCACCAGGTTAAAAAGTTAGCTGCATCTTTCTATGTTCAGTTCTGCCAGATGCTTCTGAGCCCTGTCAAGGTCCCCTTTGAATCACTCAGTCTAACCTGGAGCATTTCCAAGAACATTACTGGTATGTTGGTCAGAAAGGCTCTGTTGTTTTGTGGCTTTCCAGTAGGAAAATGGGCCATGACAGAGAACAGAGCTGCAGATTATTACAAGTCCCAAATGCCAAATATTTTGCTCAAAGCTTAAGATACTTTACCAAATGGCTCTCAGTACACAGGATGCTATCAATGTTTAGAAAACACGACCAAAGCTAGAGAAAAGGTCAGGTCCACAGTTCCCATTTTCTCTAGGCATGTGGACAAGAACCTGTGGCAGTGCTAGAAAAGTTCTGGCAGCAGAAGCCATCAGACCCGATTCAGATCTTCCTGACACCAGTGTAAACCATGAGCAAGTGCTGGTGTCACACTAGCAAGTATGAGCTCAGGATCAGGCCAGGAATTTCTGGTTTTAGCTTTTAAAAATATAACATTAAAATAGCACAAAGTAAAAGGAAAAAAATTACTTGAGTTGGAAATGATGGAATTTTCCTACACATCAAATTGAAAAATGAAATTACTACTGAACAAACAAAACATTATCTTACATGGCATCTTTCATGCAAAGTGTCCCAAAGAGGCCTCACTGAGCAGAGCAGACGTAAGTACTGAAATGAGAAAGTGTGAGTGTGTTGAAAAGCGTTCAGTGCAGGAGCAATCAATCCAAGATGGATCATGGATAAGCAGGCAGACGCATGAATCCTAGGATGTGAATGTGGTATCTACGGGGGGTGGGCAGGAGGGGAGAATATGGAATGGCTTTCCCCCTTCTTTCTAAATCCCAATGCTTTCACCCAAGGTCATTATTGCTGGATTTATATTCTAGCCCTTGGAAACTGCATTTTGCTAGTCTTTCCCCTCCTCCGCACAGCCTCTCAAAGGTTCCTCTCAGTAAGACACTGAGACATCGGAGGTTGCTTTTCATGTGTTTATAGCTTACTTATCATCTGTCTGTGCAGGTGCAGTTCTCCGAATGCCCTTAGATTTTATTTTCTCTGTTTGCTAGGAGAATAGCAATACATGGATTCCTGTTCCGGGCTCAGGGGATTTTATCAAACAGTATTTTTCCCTGGACATTACAAGGTTCTTGGTCTGTAGCTTAATCCCCATATGGAATTAAAGACACATATCCCTACCCCCAGAAGCCTTGATAACTAGCTACCTATGGGAATGTCCACTGCCTAGGCAACACGGCTCTCTGCCTTCTCTCTCTAGGCTGGAGATGAGCTTTTTTTTTCCTAAAGAGCCCAGTTCAGGGGAAGGATCTTGAGTCCAGGGTTTTGATTCAACTAAATTCAAATACAGCAACCAGCCCCAAAAATCTAGAACCAGAGTCCAACCATTAGGCTCAGATGTCAGATCCACTTAATTCAGGTACATCTGCAGGACTGCCCGCCTTAAGCATTCAAGAATCATGAGGCAAATCCCAGAAAATCATGACACTAGTTTAAAAATCAGGATATCAAACAAAATAGCATATTAGTCCTTTTCAGTTTTTTCTCCACAACAATGAGATCAAATGAAAGCTTTTGAAAACAAAAGCTGAGTTTCTCAGGTAACAACATGATTCCATCAGCTGGCCATTTAAGAAGAAACCCACCTACTGCAAGGGTAGTGCTGTGCAAGTGTAATGTGTAAGTGTGCAAGGGTAGTGCAAGTGCAGTGGAACTGTGGCTGCTAGTTATGCCAGCATAGCTATGGCAGCACAGCCCCCAAGTGCATGTGAACAGGGGTCTTTCTGCCTATAGTG